ATACTGGAATCAAAAGCTACATCATGATCCCAAACAGCATCTTCTGTATTGCCAGCAAAGCTGTTTGATTCAGTTATTTTTGAGCTTTACTCATTGGTAACAGAAGAAATCAAGGCTACTAATACCCATTCCTCCTGATGCTCTCTTCAACATCATCTGGAGCTCCACAACCTTTGCTTCAATCCTTAAGATTGTCTTGAATGATTTATCACTTACCTCCTCTCTTTGGATAATTCTTTACTCTGGTATTGCATGTCCCACAGAAGCTTAACCACAAGGAACAAACTGTTCACCAGTGATTAATCATTCTAAAGCATGCAAGAAGAAAAGCAACTTCTGTGCTATGTGAGTAAGGGGATGCTGATACAGGTATTGCACACAGATTTACCAGGTATGACATTATCTCTCTAAGAGTTGTTCCTTATGAGAGAATAATAGTCTGTATAGTCTATATACATGCATAATCAAATAATCATAGAATCAGCTGGGTTGGAAGGGACCTCCGAGATCATCAAGTCCAACCCTTGATCCAACACCACTGCGGTTCCTAGTCCATGGTACTAAGTGCCACATCCAGTCTCTTCTTAAAGACCTCCAGGGATGGAGAGTCCACTACTTCCCTGGGCAGCCCATTCCAAAGTCTGATTACCCTCTCTGTAAAGAAATTCTTTCTCATATCTAACCTAAACCTCCCCTGGTACAACTTGAGACCATGCCCTCTTATCTTGCTGATAGCTGCCTGGGAGAAGAGACCAACCCCCACCTGGCTACAACCTCCTTTCAGGTAGTTGTAGAGAGTGATGAGGTGTCCCCTAAGCCTCCTCTTCTCCAGGCTGAACAGCCCCAGTTCCCTCAGCCTCTCCTCACAGGACTTGTGCTTGAGTCCCTTCACCAGCCTAGTTGCTCTCCTGTTAATATTTACAATAGCTGGAACCAGGTTTTATATTTTTCTAAAAATTTATTATTATTCCATTAAAATTGTGAATATCTGCAAAATGAAGGATGTGATCACATGTAGATTAGATGATCGGGCAGTCAGGTAGCTCTAAGTAAGTCTTTTGACAAGTAACTACCAGCAACTGGTAGTTAACTGTTGTTAGACCTGATCACTGAGTCTCAATGGTTTTCTGTGCACTACCCTGCAGTAGCTGAGAAATTTGCCTACAAGTGAAGACATATTGTCAACAGTGGGGAAGGGGTAGCTGTCTGATGCTTTAGTAGTTCCTTTCTTTTTTAGTCTCATCTGGAAAAGGCATTCACAACAAGGTTAAAAATACCCTGTATTGACAGACAGAGAATTCAAATCACTCAAAAAATTATGAGGATATTTAGAAGACTGGTAACAAGATATTATTCTCTCTTGCTTTCTGTAACAGTGTCACACCAGTCTCCATGTATGCTTCCTATATCTTTGCAGCCATCTTTGCAGTTAATTTTTATTACAATTAAATAGTTCTTACCATTTGAGATATTCCATCTCATCTAACCATCCACCCATTCTAATCATCTAGTCACACTCATTTTCCTAAAAATAACAGGCAGGAAAAGCTGGACATTATATATGTTCTATTACTGTTGCAAATCACTCAAGCAAAATACATCCCTATTCATGAGAGATCGACTTAGGCTTGAGACTTAGGACAAATTAACTTCATTACACATTAAGTCAAAGAACAGCTGCTGAATCTGATGCTAATTCTTAAGAAAATCCCAGATGATTTTCTTCCATGCACAGTCCTTTCTTCTTTTCCCCCTTCCCACCATTTCAACAAAGTACTGGTGTTTATTCTCAAAACCAAAGATGCTGTCAAAGAGTGCACAGCTTCAAAAGCAAGGCTGCAGGCTCAGACTCATTTATGTACTATATAGCTACAATAATTCTGAATAATAAAAAGCATAATAAAGCCACAAGTATGCATACACCTTTAGATGCTCCACATCATCCTTCTCTGTGCTCAGATCTCTCTTGATAACAGCTGTATCTATTTCTAATTTTTTTCTGTATTTCCACTGCTAAGTTTCCACAGGGAACACTGCTGTGGTCAGAAGAGTGTACAGACTTTTTGTCTGTATGGACTGGATTTGTGTTCAAGAGTTCCTGCCCTGCCCTCAGTCCTTGTGTCTTTCAAGAGGAAAAGATATTTGGCAAAAAACTTCACAATCTTCACAGCCTGCCATATACAGTGGAAAAAAAAAGGTGCTGTTTCCACAGTATCTGTAGCCTTTTATTGTTATAGGGAGGAGAGGCAAGACAATTATTTCCTCATTTCTAAAATCTTTTGATCACATAATTAATAAATCCAACGGACTCGTACAATTCTCCTACTCTGTTAAAATAACCCAAAAGCCAGGCACATTAATTCTGTGCAAGATTCCTCCTGGATTGTTTTGTGTGGAACTTCCAGCTAGCTACAACCAAGAGGATAAATCCTTAAAATTACAAAAAGCATCCTAAGTAAAATTGAGGTTTTTAACCGCATCATATCAACTGGAGATTTTGCTGCTCTTGCTCAGTACCCCCAATGGACATTTTGAGGGGGAGGGAAATCCCATCTTTTTTTTTTTCTCTGAGATAAGCATGTTTTAATTTAAGCCATGTAAAAATCTGCCAAATAGCCATACTTCATAGCTACAAAAAGATACTCATCCACCATACTTCAGAGCCAGAGATCTGTGTAGTTAATGATAGTGCAAATCCTCGCTGAAGTAGCTGTAAAAAAGTGTGTGGAAACTTAAAGAAACAGACTAAGCAACATACCCTCAGGTTCTGTTTGAGCAGCATTAGGAGCTGCATTGTTTTTCTTTGACCCCAGCTGAATAGAAGAAACATAAAATTTGCTGTTCAACATTTTCAGTAAGCCAACAATTTCCCATGCTTCCCTGCTAACTTACTACTTTATCACAGAATAAACAGCTTCAGAGAAGATACAAACAACTCACTGGAATCCACATCTAGTTTCATTAAGTAAGCACACTCAAGTAGCTGTGAAGCGTTATATCAGCTGTCTGACATAAGTGCTGAAAAACACAGCATATGGATATTTGTACAACGAAGCAGAAGTACATTTCCATTTTGAAAGCATCATCAGGAAATAGCCTGCTGTCTGGAGAAAAGGATTTGTGCTTTTACATTTTTTTCCTGCATTGAGTAGATGTATTTAGCTGCCACAGTGGCAGATACTCTGGTTACAAGACATGGGGATAGCTTATTGTTTTATTTGATAAAGCAGCCTGAATGATATTTATAATGAGTGCAGCATAGAGACATTTGCATTAAGGAGAAGGTTGAGGATGTTCAGAAAATTAGGAAGGAATAGTTTCATAACAAATCTTTTCGGGCTTCTGAACTGGAGCTGGACTACACAGCTTCAAGGTATTTGCCTCATGAGTTTGCTTTAGTTCCAATCCAGAGTTACTTCAGAATTACATAAAAGCACCTTTAAAAAACTTTAATCCAGGATTTTGACCTATAACTATCACTGGTTTAGCCTTATTTGAAGCAACTAATATTTGAATGCAGCACTGAGACTCTTAAAGGTGCTGCAAGAGGATTCCAAACTCACCAGAAACAGCAAGCAGGAGCAGCCTCCACCTCTAAACTGCAATTTGTATTATCTGTAGGAACCTCCTCTTTCTTTACTCTTTTACAGCATAAATAGGTTAGTTTATATCACTGAGAAGGCATTCCTAGTCTGGGTGGAGAGTTACCGCTTTCAGGTGACCAGCTGTAATTGGTAGTGTGGGTTGTTGCCCATCTGCCTCCTGAGCCTGGGCACCCTCAGCTGCTCCCTGCATCCAGCTGTGCATCAGTTGCTTGAGTTATTCTGTGATCCACAGTTCACATGCATTCCTGAAAGGGTGACAACAAATTTATTCCATCCTGTAATGAAAGAAAGGAAGATGGACAGGTGAAATCTGACAGTGATGAAAAAGAAAGGCTCATGACATCAGCAGATACCAAAGGACATATAACAAGAAAATAGTCCACCTTTGTAGAAACTATAAAAAGCAAACAAACCCAATTTAAAAGATTTGTTTTCCTTTCATATTATTTGCAGTCAATGTCCAGGGCCTTGTCCTTTTGCATTTTATGCATTTCCTCTAGCACTTTACTGCAGAGATCATTGCATAAAGTGAAATTTATTGTTTCTAGCTCTCCTAACATTTATGTTCCTCAGATCAGCAATGAGGAAAAGAAGTTAAATCACTGTAGGAAACTTCTCCAGTTACGCTCATTGCTCCCATGCCCTCTGTTTTACATTGGCTGTAGATATGACACTTAAAAGTCTGTAGATGATTGCATTTCATAGCAACAAGTGCTCTTTGATATAGGGAAAATACATTTGCTCTCTGTTACATGCCTGGTCTTTGGGTTGGACCGAGGAAAGGATGTGTGCAACCATTCCACACGGCTGTGAATTTGCAGGTACATTCCACAGTGCACAAGGTAAGAAAAGTACTTCTAACTTGCACTCATGAAGGAAAGTTTTAAAGCCTTTCCTTCAAGATGAAGGGAAACTGGAGAAGAGGTATTTTACTGAATCAAATTTCAACAGTAGGACTGATTTTTAGGGTGCTCTGAAACTTCTTCCCTCACTTATTGTGGCAAGAAGTCTGAAAGTCCCTCACTTCACAGAGCCTGAAAGGACACATGGTATGATGTGGAAACCTTTCAGTTAAAAAATAAAATCAAACTAGGTAGGAAAAGAGTAGGAGTTCAGACTTTTTGTTCCATTTCATTTTCTGATGTTCACTTGAGGTGATGCTCTGAGGTGGCAATCTCTTCCCAGGGCTTCTGCACAATGTATCCCAAATTCTCACAGCTGTACAGGCAAGAATAGCCCATCTATTGACTGAGCACTGGAAGACATATAGTTAAAAACACAGTACACTATCTGTTTTAGTAAGGAACAGAATTAAAAGTATTAAAATAATATACTGGATATAAATGACAGCTGTGACAGGAAAATGAGAACAACTTTCATGTTTTTATTGCTGCCTTAGAAGCAATTGATAAACAATACACTTCATATATAAATGAGCATGTGTCAATATATGACAACAAAAATAAATTACAGTGACATAGTATTTAACTTTACAAGGTTGTACAAAATTTCCAAATATTAATAGATTTCAACTTAAAAATTTGAAATAAGTTAAAACTTCAACTATGCTGAAGACTTAAAAATACACACACAGTTTCACTCAATCACATCATTTACAGTATGATTTTTTTTAAGCTGTTTATTCTTATACACCCATATATTTTTTACTGTATTAGTGGAATATATCCTGCTATATGCAGCTTTACTGCACTGGGATAGAGAAAGGGGTTCCCTGAGGGCACAGAACAGGCTTTGAGTGTTTATATTTTAAGTAATTTGATTGCATTTATTAGCTAGAAATATAAAACTGAAGTGTTATTTATCTGTCCTATAATGAGAGACTGATTTTTCTCCTCTTGCTAGAATTTCCATTGATATTAATGCAAATTTTGGAGAAGGCTTAACCGCAGGATTGAGCTAAACTATGTCTGTTCAGCCAGGATGAATTAGATCACACTATTTAATGAACTATTTGAAAAATATCTGTTTTGCATTAGATGTCAATATAGACTACATAGCTAGTCACGGCTATGCACTGAGATATTTGCTTCCACAAATAATGGGAAAATATATTTGATGTGGTACTTTGAAGTAATGGGTTAGATTATAGATTAGTATTTTCAACACCTCAATTATATGCATTTGATTCTTTTATTAAATATTATGAGGATTAAAAGCATTGGACAAAACTCCTAGGCTGTGAGTTTGTGATGACTGAGAAAGCCAAGGGTCTAGTTCAAGCTACAAGATAAGGTAAAGTAGAGGAAATTCATACCACAGGTGGATTACTCTGCGTAGTTAGGCTGGTGCAGACTCTGTGCACCATCAGAAGGTCAAAAGCTTGCTAATTCAGAAACCATTAGTAAGAAAACAGATAGAGAAAGAACTTTGAGCAAACTGGTATGTGTGAGAAAATTGCTCAGTTGTCAAAAATACAGGAAGACACTTGTTCAGACAGAGGTGGGTCTTGAACTGTCTGCAACGAATTTGGTAAGAAAGAAAAAAGAAATCCAAAATGTCTATTTGTGCAACTGAATTTTCTCTTGTCTGAATATGCTAAAATATCTGTCAGAATGCTGCATCAGTAACCTACAATCTTTCCTCCAAACAAATAAATTTACTGAGTACATCATTTAAATGAGAAAGAAAGGAAAAAAGTCATAAACAGGGAAGAGCTGAGCAATTCGCCATTTCCATTTTTCTCTAATGCTACTGGGAATAAAGACCACTGCACTTTACAGTCCAGATGGAAATTATTTTAGAAGCCACTATTTTTGTTGTGTGAATATGCTGTCACTGGGCATCAGGAAGGAGGAAGAGAAGCTGAAGAATGGATCTATCAATCTATGTTTTGAGGATGGCTCACTCTGATTGCTCTATGTTTTCCAAGAGAATATCTTTGCAGGCTTGTGCCCAGTGAGTGCAAGTGTTGGGCACACAGGTGGAGGTCTGTGATGCTGACAGGAGGCCAGGCAGCCCAGCTCCAAGCTGCCCACCTCCTGCCTATCTGGTGGAAATATGTGCATTTCAGATTCACAGTGGGAGTCTTTCCATCAGCTGGAGCAGGGCTTGGATCAGCCCCCAGAAAAGGGGGCTACGAGAGCACAAAGCAATTTCACCTAGCAACCAACGGTGTCATTAAGTGAATTAATAGCAGCCAAAGAATATTGTAGGATATGGATGGAGTCAAAATTTCCTTCTACAAATCTGCATCTAAAGAGAATCCTGCCACACTGAAGGGAACGACAGTTTCCCCACAGGACCTCATCTACACGATGAAGACTTCAAAACACTTTCTCTAGATTGTTTACCCACTTGCAACTTCTAATCTCAAATCACTATAATCAAAACAATTACACTTTTCTTAATTGCTTGTTCTCTGTTCTGCCTGTTTTGTGTTCAGAGAGGAAAAAAGTACATGGAAATATATCTCAAAAGTTCAAGCAACCTCTAGTGGTTATGTAAACCTTACCTCACCAACTGCTTGGCACACAGTGTATTACTGTACAATCAGATATGTCTTTTATATCCCATAATTTACTTTTTATCTTAACTAGCAAGCCACTCTATGAGCAGCAACTAAAGAAATGAGTTTATCAGCTTATATTAATGCAATTGTTATCAGGGGCATACAGGGTAAAAGTCATTTGTAGATTACAGTAATATATTTGCAAGGAAATTTCCACACGGGAAGGTGCCACCTGATTAGTTTTATGTGGGGAATTAAAAAAAAAAGGGATGTTAAAGCATCTTGGCAGGAGAAAATCTCTTAGGAGCACAATGTTCCACTGTGATAGTTCAGTGGGAGCCAAGTTTTGACAGCACATTTTGGGCTGATACCCATGCAGTAAAAGGAGAAATGTGAGCTCTCTTAGGCCACTTGACCTGGACCAATGCATTCACTTTTGTACGAACACACATGGCCATCCACCTTCTGCCCTCAGGACTGCAGAGCTGGCAGTCATTCAAGAGGAGAGAACACCAATGAAAGCATTTGAGTCTCTCTCAGTATACCTTTCCTTACTTTATTTTTATTAGTTGCGAAAGGGAAGGTTCCTCTAAAACATTGCAGACGAGGAAAATGATTGTTTTCCATCATTATCCACTTCTACTCTTCTAATTACTGTGCTAGTGTTGCAAATCACCATCAATATGAGCTAGGGCCAATTATTCTTTCTGAGAGTTTACTGAGACAGAATTTAATTAGTGGAAGGATTGCTGCACAGTAAGGTACTTGTTAGCAAAAAAAAGATCAACTTATCCAGTAATTTAAAAAATGGTAATATTTTGTATTGTATCTGAATGGGTGGCTATGACTAGATTAATAGATACTAGACTTTGAGTGAATGCTCAGTTACTGTCTTTTTACACAGCAGTAGGTGAGGGTCTCCTTTCTACTCTTTCCTGTTATTTTATAAGTTCACAATACATTCAGCTCCACTGGTCTGGCTGAAGAAAATCAGCATTTGATAAGGAGTAAAATTACAAATTCCTTTTTATGAAAGCAATTTCTGAGCTGCTTAATTACTGCACGTAATTTCCCCATATATAGCAAAATCAGGAAGGAACAGGCAAATGTCAATTTATATAAAATATGTTCAGATATTTTCTCTGGGACTTGTTTTGCACCATAATCAGAAGAACAGAAAACTTTCAAGTAACAGCATAAGAAAAATATATCAGGAAACACATAAAATATGTTCATCAGATTCCTGCAATGTTATCTCTATTTCTATCACAAAAATACCCGCTATCTCCAAATAGAAGCAGGAAGCTTATGACTTTTTCTTGTAACAACTTGACTGGTGTGGTCCACACCCTTCCCGCTGCAGGGTGGCAGGGGTAGGAACCCAGTTCCAGCTTTCTGCTAGGCAGAAGTCCCATGAATGCTGGTCAGTTTTGAGGCAGGAAGAATTGGGGTAAGAGGCAACTGGGTAAGGGGACATCTCTAGAAAACCAGGGATAATTCATATAAAAAAAATTACATCTCCTTCACTGACATCTTCTAACATCTACAGCTTACAACTACAAAATTTCACATTGTATTTAGCATTTTCTTACTCCTTTCAGAAAGCAATGAATGGTAATTCCAGCTTTTTTAAGCTTTAACTAAGCGCACTTTTGTGCACTTAGTACATGGACTTCAATGATCCTTCCCTATGCAGCTTGCTTCTGAGAGCAGCTGCCAATCTTTAGTCTTTATATTTTACCTCTAATGATGGATTCCATGTCAGTCAATATGCACTGCACAGACTAAAAACCAACCCAACCCCAAAAATGTTACTCATGCATATTAGTTTAAGTTTCTCTTGCATTTTTCATACTGATAGTTCCTGTCTCAGAGCAGGGGAAATAAGCAGCTACGTAATGTAGCTGCAATATTTTGAAAAGAAGTCTGAAAGGACCTTCCAGCATATTCAGTGAAGTGCATGGGCAGAGTAGGAGATAAATCCTGTTCTACCTTTTACACAGACAATTTTTTTCAGATTACCCTATGGTCAAGAAATCACACTTATTTTGAATAAAGAAACCAAATATTTACTCAGGTATACTTCTACAGCCTGAATAGTGGAAAGTTTTTGTCCTAATATCACTTGTAAACTAAACATTGTTAATGGAGATATAAGGCAAGCAAATGGAATGTATTTCCGCATGAGAAAAATTCACACCACTGGAGGACAAAAGCTGCTTAACTCCAGCTACATTTGATTTCATATAATTTTGCAGGTGCTAAGAAATGGCATACTTCTATATTGATGGCAGAGAGTATTCGATAGGTATATGCAAAAGGTATATTCACTAGAAGGGGACTGAATGTATATGAAAGAAAAGTAAGGAGAGGAGAAAAGTACGGAGCATCAGGAAATACTGCACAAGTCTATTTCTTGTGCTGTATCTGCACAAGGCAGAGTGCAGCACTGTGCAGGATTCAAAGTAAATTGGCTTGTATCTTTTGCCCTCGTGGTGTTAGTCTGTGACACAATGATAATAATTCTTAATGTGGGCACATTAAGCACAAATTAATGAAGGCCATTTGGCCATTTCTTCATCCCTTTGGCATCTCTAGACTAAGTAGTATTTGAGAAGTGACTACAGTGTCATTATTACCCAAAGATTTCAATACAGAATAAAATAGGTTCAAGAAGACTGGGTCTTTTGAAGCCACATAATGGATCAGATTCTTGTCCTGAGACTTTATTTCCTTGATAGTGTAAAATTTTTGAGATCTTTTGAGTATTGTAAGTAAATTAAATATGCCTTTATGAATGATTTGAAAAATAAATATAAGTTCTCTCTGTACAATAACGTCCTGTGTTTTCTAATTGTTAATTATGGTCGAGTGATGATTACCAGAGCATTTCTAGAGTCCTTTCATTCCAGTGACTGCACTAAATAACTTTTGTCCTGGAGAGAGTTAGTATCTCCCTTCAAATTCCTGAAAAATGCATATGCACTCAGACAAACAAGCCATGCTTACATACTAATGGCTAGTTATTTAGTCCTAGACTGCTATAATAAGGATATTTTCACAGAGGCCCGAGTGGGTTGTCAGGCTGCTCTGCCAACAGTGTAGCTGATGGTGACATGTGCTTTTGGCTTACAGAATCATTCATACTCTGAACTTTTTTAGGCATGTGTGTTTATGCACCCTTATGCAAGGAGGATGTTCACATCTATAAAACCTTTAAATGTCTTGAGTTTTTTTCCACACTTTTTGCCAAGTTACGTAAATTGTATAGCTTCACTAGCTTGGAAAAAAAAGTTAGCTATCCTCATCACAGTTGGGCTAAATGGTTTTATCACCACTTTCGGAAGGCCTTCCTTTAAGCCAGCATCACACATCCCAGCTGAATTCAGTCAAGGTTTTATTGTTTACAAAACCAGAAAGAGGTGAATGATCTAGATATACTGTGTATTTCTTAGACCTATTAGGCAAACAAGGTTTTTAAAGCTTTCACAATTCCACCTGTGGGACTGGTACATGAATATTATTATTCCATGCAACAGAAAGGGCAGAGCAATAGGATAGGGTGAGAGAGGATGGCAATTTTATTTTTCTCATTTCTAATGGGATGAGTGCTGTTCTTACCTTAAAGAATTTGCAGTGGTGACTTGCTTTATATGTTTGTGACATTTGCCTCAAACTGTTTTCATAGTGACTGGTTTTCTCCTCCCAAGCTCAGACACTGACAGTGATGTTCACATGAACATAGGAGTTTCTCTTATGTGAACCTAGATAGAATCTACTTTAAGAGGCCTTTATTTTCCTATATGGTAAACGTAGGGTGATTTTTTTTAAACTAACAGAGTTAAACCTAGGGAAGCATTGATGCAGTAGCTCACTACTGCATCAATGCTTTCACTAAGTGAAATCTGGTCATGCATTTCTAAATTTTGGGTAATGTCTGAGGAACCAGCACAATACACTGAAAACACCACATCCAGAAATAAAGAAAATGCAATTGTAAAAATACGCAGTAAGGAAGGATGTGGAAACTTTTCTTGCACATAAGCAGAGCAGACTAAAACACAGTTTCACTGTCCAGTTACAACTGATGAGGCATCAAAGGCAGTGTTTACCACTGCAGACAACTTCAGCATAAGTTTGTATATACATACGTATACATTGCTCTAGATGCGCGTACGTCTCTCTGTAGGTACATGCACAGTACAGTCATACATATGTTATCCTTCTGAGATATATGTAGTGCATAGAGATGTATAGGTACAATATGCATACCACATAATACAAGTTGGAATAGGTAGTGAAATAAGTAACACTTATCTTAATGTTTTCCCATGTTACTCCTTCCATTTTTCAATCTCTGCCAGGGTTGACTGAAACTCTCCCAAGTCATTTAAATATCCAAAATTAAGAAAAAAATCCTCAAGCACAACTAGGAAGGTATCTGGAAATAACTACAATGATCTTTCTTGAGAAAAAAAAAGATTACGATCTGTTATATTTTGCATGTACAGTATGCATTGTGAAGAGTAGTCAAAGTCCTGAATGCCAGTGTGGCACATCTAATGACCCTGTCAGTTAAGACTGTGAAAAATTGTCAGTGGTACCAAATACTGTGATGGTCAATCTCAGCCAGTTGCAGTGCCACAGCGTACAACATGAAATAAACATAGTGTATAATTCTAAACATTTCTATTCATGCTGAACTTGTTTCCAACAAATAGCATGACTGGATTATCTATACTCTTGCTTTAAAAGCTGAAGTAGAAAAATGCCCAAGTATCAGACATTACAAATTAGCATTTTTCCCAATAACTGTCTGGCAGGTCCTAAAGGTAGAAGTAGAAAACTGCAGAACTTACAAATGATCTATGCCTGATATGAGGAAGAACATCCTAACTAAATAAAGTTTTTAATTCCATGAAAACCTGAATGTTATACATGCTTTAGCTAAGCTTCCAAACAGAAGCACTTGATTATCATGGGAGTGCAGTGCATGAGAGAGAAAAGGCAGACATCATTATGAACACCTCAGCTCCACCAGACATCTCTACATACCCCTGGGGCTCACAAGAAGCAATCTACAAATAGGTATCACTTTGACCTGCTCCCAGAAGCCAGTGCAGTGGTATTTGCATGGGCACATACAGAAAAGATAAAAAGAATACATAAAATAGAAAATCACAGAAGCTGGAAACAAGTTGTGAAAAGAGACAGTAGATTTGCGGAGGTCAAAAAATATTCAGAGTTATCACAATGAATATGTACTTTTTTAAAATTTCCAAATGCATTAAAATACATGATGATTCATGAAGTGGGTGAAGTTTAAGCTAGTGGGGGCTTGGTAGAACATTCTTATGGAGAGATCATCCCATGAGTTCCAAAGAAGGTCAGGCTTGGTGAACAGTCAACTTGCGGTAAAGACCATTTTTACCAATAAGGACCTGGAATATATGAATCCTGCTCCATCTCTTTTTCATGTTCTTATACATCTTTAGAAAAGAAGCATCAGGTCCCAACATTACAACTGCTGGAATTAGTAAGGTGCCTTCTGATAGTCTAAGAGCACATAACTTTGCATAGGGGGACTGTGAAAGGAAAGAAAGCCTGGTACCAAGAGAAGCTTGTAGAGCGTATATTAGGAAGACTCTAGGAGCCATTTGGAGGAGAATGAGGGTTTAGAATCTCAAATATAAAATTGAATAGGGATGCATAGTCAGATGGCAAGGGGCAAGTGACAAGCAGTTTATAAATAGGTTGACATGGCACAGTATGATCATCCCCACCATACATATGGTAGCATGATGATAACTGTGTCTTCAAAATTACTGATGATGCTGATCAGGAAAAAAAAAAAAATCCTTTGATGTTCACACTCTGTAGAGGCAAACCAAGTGTACTTTGGCACCTGTATTCAATACTGAGATAACAAGGTTGATAATGAACTAAGATTTTCTCGAATATTATTGCAGAAGAAGTAAGGAAATATAATAATCAAGACAGAAAATAAGAAAGTGAAGTTGTACATAACTGAGAAAGGTCATCAACTGTCTCAGAAAATCTGTGTGGGTTATCTTCATGAAACTGCCAGAATCCTTTAGGACATTTATTGTTTAGGTTACCCTGATCCACATGTTTAGATCCTGGAAACTATTCAGGCCTTTCCTATATTTGTTTAGCTTTAGAACAATGCCACACTGATTTTCAGTTTACCTTTGCAGAAAGGGTGTTATGCTGGGGTAGGAAAAAGTGTTTCATGCACCATGAGCCCTGTTCCTGGATCTTTGGATCAGATATTTCCCACTGCCTATACCGGTACAGAAGTAATAAACTTCTATCACAATTTTACATTGATAAAGCCGAGCAAATATTTTAAAGTGTTTTGTTGTCTCTTCAGAGGCTGACAGTGATTGGGGTCTATTCTACAAAGATTTCTCCAGACTACTCAATTGCTCCTGTCTGGCTATCGCTTCTGATTTTTGGTTCCTCTTCATATGGAATCTAATCTGGTATTATTGCAATTAATGGGCACTCGTCTCTGAAAATGCAGCTTTCCACGTGAATAGTGTTAATGGGACTGAGCTGTTTGTCTGCCGTCAGAGTGATGCTTTCTACTGTGTTTCTGACTTAATTTTCCTCAAAACAGATGAACTATTGCATTATTTGTATTTCTTAAAACCAATGCAGTGTCAGATTGTACCTTCTGGTCTCACACTGTTCCTCTGCAAACTATTGTGTGTGCCTGTGTTCATAAATAATATACCCACTTGTGCATACAGCTAAAATTTTTGTGTGTGCAAGGGTTTTAAGCAAACGCAGAGACATAAAATACAAATTAACTCGATCCCCCACTGTAGTTGTAACACAGCCAAATCCTTAATATTTTATAGTGCATATTCCATTAAATAAATAACTAAATTGATCTATGCTACAATATGTGTATACATACACATTTTATGATGCCTGTAAATAACATTTTAAAGCCTGTTCACACATCAAAAGACAGGTTTTTTATTTCTCTGTTAAAACAATCCAAGGATTTAACTCTTCCTATTATGTAAACAGTGGTGACGGATGCTTTCAAGGAAGCTTAACTTCAATAAAAATAATAGTTTCCCATTGTAAAATCAATACTAATATACCATAAATCCCCCTGATGAACTCTGGCTTCCTTACATGCTCTCACATTTTGTGTATTAGGGGCACAGCACTACTCTAGATATTAGAATATAATAATATGGCAATATATATAGATATAGATATATATTTAAATGTTAAAACATTTGTAAGGTCAACTTGAGTAATGAATATATTTCAAACAGATGCTTCTTTCTATAAATAAAGGTCATTAATTTTCTTTGCAACACAGGTTGCAAAGGCTTTGGTTTTATGTGGCTACGAAACTGGTAAATCAATTCTGGTATCTTTAGTTCAGTGACTTAGGGACGAAGCTTTAACTTTTTCTGTATTTTATACTAAAACTTGCGGTAGACTTGCAATATTATTTATGAGATTACCTTAGGGTAGACATTTAAAACAACTCATACAAAAGAAAGTATTTGTTTCAGTGACAAGAAAACTAGGTGTAGTTTATTCATTTCTCAAGCAGACCTTTATGAATCACTTTAAAAGGACACTACAGCTGAAGACTGAAGAGCAATATTTATCAACATTAAATAAAACATTTGGTGAAATATGTATAAATATTTCTTCATATGAACATAACACAAAATTAAATAGTTCAGATACACAGACACCATTTAATATATTTCCACTGTTGTCAAAATCATCTGTAAACACCATCTCACACTGAATACAAAAGCAGCTTTAACATCAGTTCTGTGTTCACAACACTGATGCCCCTTTGTAAAATAAGATATTTGTTTTGTTTTATTTTCAGCAAAATAAAGAGTCTAAGCAATAAAAAAAAAGTTTTGGTCAGTTCAAAGGAGAATACAAAATAATCTTTCAACATGTAACTAAATCAGATTTAGAGCAACAGTTTAAAGTACAATCCTTTCCCCACGGGACCTCTGACTTTTATATGTGACTTTTTATGTGGTGCAGACCACATCACAAACACCAGGAATTACTGGTTATGTCTAAGCTATAAATATTAAAGCCCTTTTAAAATTGTCTTTATCAAAAATTGCCAGGTTAGAAATTGGCAATATCACATTTTTCGCAACACCGAATAACCTAGCGTCAAACGGATTTAGGTGCGCTTCTCCTGATGATTTTAAAACAGGTTCTGGAAAAGAAACACTTTTTAGTGACCATCCTTCATGTGCAAATATAAAGCATTTTTTTTAAACAAATCTTTTGCATCTGAAGATCACCTGGGCAGACAGTGCAAGCAGGGGGGCTCCACCAAGTTTTGTCAGAAAATTGTAACTTGAACTTTCATTGGAAGCTGTAGAGATACTGCACATTAGATCAGAGCTGGCTCCGAGAATGGTGGTGCGTCCACATGGTGCAACTCAGGACGAGGTGTTGCAGAACCCGTGTGTGCCACAACAGCAGCACAGACCCCCCAGCATAACATGGGGGTTCTGCTGATGATTGTGCCTGCCTGGCTCCTGAGCAGCTCCCTCTGGGCATCAGTACTGTGCAGCCCTGATCTGGAGTTCCATCATCCTACGCCCTACAAAGATAGCTTCAAACTCTTTCCCAAATGTAGCCCTCAGTTCCTTTCACGTTTCTATCTTTTAAAGAGGTGTGATCACATTCCAGAGAGACACTATGCTCAAGATTAAGGTTTTACTGGGCATCTACCCCATTATAAAATTCTGTAGACTGTTAGGCTCACAGGCTATACTTTGGTTCTCTCTTTTTGAAATGTGGACATCACGTTTTGGTTCCAGAGATAAAGTTGAGTTTTGGGTGGCAAATAATGAACTATATACATATAACATGATTTTCTGACTCCTTTTTAAAATTTCAATCACATGAAATCATGATGAGGGATCCTGTAAAACCTAGAACATTAGGTCACCTCTTTCCCAGTATGTGTGTATTTTACATGTGTGAATGTATGTTATGCATACATACACTCTCACACACACACACACACATATATATAACATGAGCTGCACACATAGATACCTAGAGATCAGGAATCAGGGGGACAATTAACAATACACCAGAAGAGAAGTAGACAGGAAACTCTACCTGGACAACAAGAAGCAATTTTTCAACGTATACAGTCTCTCAAATAATTTCATAATCCTGTTTCACAAGCTTGCTACCTCTCTATGTAACTTGAATATAAAGATGTTGGATTCCTTGGAAACAGAAGAGCTGGGCTAGCTAAATGTGCTTACCTGAGATCTCAGAGTTGATTATGATCAAAGAGCTGGGCAGATAAGTAATGGGTTTATAACTGCTATACAGCTTCTTGCAAATTTGTAGGAAAACTATATTAAATATTTCATTCCTTAGTAAAAACACTGAAGTTTGTTAGTTTTTGCTGAAGGCAGACTTGATTTTTATATTAAACTGGATTTATTGAAAGGATAAATAAGTCTGGCAGCTGCTTTCATGACTTGATATTTAAATCATAGAATCAGCACCCTGGAACCACCCTCCCACCCCAACCCATCCCGTCATATTTCTTACTGTCCTGTGTCCCATCCTGCCCTGTCCCGTGCCGTCCTGTCCCGTCCTATCCCATCTCATCCTGTCCCATCTCATCTCATCCCTGTTTCATTGGTTTCTTATTGTTTAAAAAATACTATTCTATGAAGCCTCCCTAGGGATCCGCTTATGAAAAATGACAGACTGCCTTTGCTGATACTGCTGTTTGCGTTGTTTTCGTTTGTCACACTGGCACAGCAGCAGCATCTTGAAGGTGTTTCTGAATGTCTTGTTACACAGTGCATAGCACATGGGGTTCACCGTGCTATTGATGTAGCAAAGCCAATACCCCAGGTGCCAGAAAGTTTTGGGGATACAGCTGCAAAAGGTGTTTGCCAGAACCATGATGTTATATGGGGTCCATGTAATGATGAAGGCAAACAAAATGGCACTGAGTGTCTGCGCTGCTTTCTTTTCTTTGATAAGTGACATTCGTTTTCGCTTTGTGATCTGACTTCTGGTCTTCAAGGCAAACTTTTTTGCCAGTGTTGCTTCCTTGAAGGACAAGGGCAAGGTTGCAGATGTCTTGGTTACTGATGAGATGCCATCAGAAGCTGTGGTTGTGTCTTCTGACTCTGGCTCAACTGGAATCTTAGAAAAGCTCTTTTGGAAATTTCCACCATCCTGAACACTTTTGGGAGGGTGCAATTTTTTTGGTTTCTTTTCCTTAGATTCTGTGTGGGATTTCTGCAGTTCATCCCCTGACTCATGCAGATCTTCCGAGGAGGGTAGTTTCGTGGAATTGAGGATAGCACTGTGACCAGGAAGCTTCAGCACGATTGAATAGATGGCTCTGGTCTCTGTAGCAATGTCTTCTTCATCAGAGGAAGCTGAATTTTCAAGGGAGGCAGCAGCATCGTTGTTGTTCCAGCTGTCACTGCTGCTATGATCTTGATCTCCCTGGTCGTTGTTGGGTTCCCAGCTCTTCATTGTGAGCCAGAAATGGCAGCGTCCATATTTCTTTCGAGTGGAGCGTTTCATGCTCTGCCGTTGCAGCTCGTAGCTGCTGCAGCTCCGGGAGCTGCCGGTCTGGTGTACAAAGCGTTCTGCCTCTGCTTCACTGCCCGAAGCCTGTAGCCCTGCTAACTCTTTGGTGCGTTTCTCTGTCTCCTTGTAGATCCTCCAATACAAAATACTCATAATGGTGACTGGCAAATAAAAGGCAGCTATGGCAGTGCCAAAAGTGATGATAGGTTCACTTAGAAACTGGATGAAACATTCATCAGGAGGCACAGTCCTCTCTCCAACAAAATACTGCCAAAACAAGATGGCAGGGGCCCAAAGAACAAAAGAGACTATCCATGCTAAACCAATCATCACCCCAGCCCTTTTGGTTGTTCGTTTGGCTCTGTATGTTAGTGGCCTAGTGATGGAAAAATACCTGTCAAAACTTATAACAAGGAGATTCATGACAGAGGCATTACTGGCGACATAGTCAATGGAGAGCCAAAGATCACAGGCTAAGCTTCCCAAAGCCCAGTGGTCCATGATGATGTATGTTGTATAAAGATTCATAGAAAGAACACCGATGATCAAATCTGCACAAGCAAGGCTCAACAAGAAGTAGTTGTTGACCGTTTTCAGTTGTTTGTTAACCTTAAATGCAACAATCACTAAGATGTTTCCTATGATGGTCACCAGGGCAAGGATCCCCGTGAGGAAAGCAATCAAAACTACTTGCCAGACAGTGTGTCCACCCAGAGGGTCTTTGCTTGTGGCATTTAGGGTCATGTTTGTTGATTCCACAGTGGAGAAGGTAAAACTCTCTGTGGTCTGAGGGAAATCATAGCTGCCAATGAGTGATGCTGCTTCCTCAAGGAGTCCTGGTCTGTGCGAATCTCTCTTCCAGAAGGAGCTCACATTTGAAAACAGGGGTGAGGCTGAACTGTTATTTTGCATGATCATTGTGGCTCTCTGACATAGTCTGCAGTGGAGAAAAACCAAACAAAAATTAAGTGAACAAGTGAAGATGGTAAATAGATAATCGTCCTCATACTCATACATAAAATCACTTTGGCACTCTGAAAGGTGTCTTTAAAAGCCAAGATGCCTGTCAGCCATTCCAATCCAAATATGTATGTGGTAGTACTCTGCTTTCTGTTGGTGCTTAATCTGAGCTCTTTGTATTAATCACATTGCGATTCCTTACATATATTCAGTCACAGAAGAATTAAAATCCCAGGAGAATTTGAACCCACAGTAGTATTAAAACACCCTCTAACTCCAGCTCTTAATTAAAACACTCCCTGATGGATTTGCCCTGAACTCAACATCTCAACAGTCCACCATCCTGGAGCTAAATTCTAAACACATGCAGCCACAAATCCTCCAAGTTCCAATCAATGCTGGTCCCCAGTGCTATCCTGGCACTAGCAAAAGACAGACCCAACCTCTGCTAGCCTCAGCTATAGCTAATTATAAACAAAATTATTGTTCTGCCTTACCTTAAACTATAGAGACGCAATCCAGCATCACTTCACTATGTCAAGATATTCTAACCTGTGAGGCTGCAAAGCCCTTTTCATTTTCATCTACATTTCAGCTACCTGATAAAGGTACTAAAACTTCTCATTAGCACTTTTTGCACATGACACTATTCATTTTTCATGCACATTTTTATACTTAGACTAAGGATTTTGTACATCTAATGACTTCAAAATGTCTTTGGGGAAATGTGGTGAAAGTTCCTTTGAAACTATGGTCTCTAGAGTAAGGAAAAAATGTTTGGCAGATGTATGTCAAAGCAGTCGTTAAACATTTTAGGAAAAGAGGAAAAAAAACATCGAAGGGATAATTAAGCCTTAATCCTTTTCCCAAAATACTATAATAAAATGAAGACACGTTCAGAATAGGAATTTGCATTTCCCTTATTTCATTAGCTTCTGTGGTCAGCTGACTAGATTCACAGTAATTAATCAATTATATCAAGAAACAAGAAATCTGATGAAAAAGTCCATCATCAACCATAAATGTTGAACAGAATATGCTGTCATTGTTTGTTTGTTTTCTAAATGTGAGTCCTTCCAGAGTCAATACATTATGGCATGAGATAATAATGAGTATCACAATACACTGGTGTTACACAAAAATATTTAGCCAAAGGAGTTTTTTGTTCTTGTTGTTGTTATTGTTTGTTTTTTTAATCAATTTCTAAATTCTCTTTTCACTTGAACTGTACTTGGCTTTGTTACCAAGCCATGAGATGTTATGTGATTTTAAATGGAGCAGTTTCATTAACATATCTAATAAATAGACCGACAGTTTCTTCCCCTCACTCATGCACAGTAACACAAATCCCACACCTATTTTGAAATCTAGCATAAACGAGATATTAATGTTTCTCTTTATTAATAGGAATACAAGGTTACAGTGATGATGCCTTATTTTAATCTAATTCAATCCACTTTTAATGCATTCATCATTGTATCACACAGAATATGAACATAATATGTAAATATTGCTCTGGTAAATCACACAGTAAAATTTTAAGTCTTTTCCTGAAAGAAAGATTGAAAACTTGGAGCAGTTCACCTTCTAAAAAGAAAAATGGTAAGATTTTTATAAATTGTAAATTAACACTGATAACTTTGATTTTCTTGAAATTTAAGGACACCGAAACTAAAACTATCGTTTATCAAAAAACTTTGGCATTCCAAGTTTTCTTTTTTTTACAAAGTTCATAGGAAATAAATGTCCAGTTTCACATGAAAGTTCAGGCAAAAAAAAAGACATTCTGAAAATTTGTCGAGCTGCTTCTCTGACACAATGAATGAACTTTTCTGACACAATTTCACCACGTCCTTGCCATCTATTAGAGAATCTCTGGGAAAGACCATGTTTCTTTTTTTTCTTTCTCAAGATATATTACTTCTGACTATGGAGTTGCTGTAGGGCAGGTCACCATCACGCTGTTTCAAAGTAACTGAAGTCAGATCTGCACTGTGTGAGAGAGAGACTCACCTAAACTACAACAATGAAACAAAAGTCTGCAGAGAGTAATTTTCATAAGGGCAAGCAGAAGTCTAGATGAGGAGCATGCTCTGTTATTTTGCATTTGTACCCCCTAAAGCTCAATTCCTTGCCTTGGCCAAAGATGACATTCATTTATACATCTTTAAAAATGAAGATCCCACATACTCAAAAACTACAGATAAAGGCCTCTGGAAACCCAATGTTCTCCTTTGACAAAGATACTGAAGCAGCATTCAAGTTTGGCTTGCCCCTTCCAATGTGTGAACAAAACACACAGTTAACTTGTGAACAATTACTTAAGCAATTGTTGACACTGTCCTTGCCAGTTGTTTATGAGCCAAGGTGGTTACTCATAGTCAGGAAAAAACCTTTAACTCAAACAGGATTGCTGGAAACCATCCTTCTTGCAATGTTTTATTTAGGAAGCAGGCTTTTCTTTCCAGAGCTGTCAGAGAGGATGAGGTCAAAACCAGAATAGTATGAGAGAGATCTCAAATAATGATATTTGCTAAATATATGCCAGAAATGATTAATGTTATAGGGTGCAGAGCTTCCTTCACTCACACTAGGGACAGAGAGCAGAGGATGCAAGCCAGAAAGCATCTGCTCTGCAGCCATAAATTTCTAAAACCTCTACAAGGTAACAGCCAACATAGTTATGTATTGGTTGAGAAGTCTGATGAGTAAATTTAGATGACTATGATATTCTGCTGCTTTTTCATAAAAAAAAAAAAAAAAAGACAAGCTGGTATCTTCTAACACACAAGAAAGGACCAGGAAGAAGAGATATATCTATCTATGTCTAATCTATCTATATCTATCTATCTCTATCTCTATATCTATCTATATCTATATATCCATATCATCTATATCTATATCCATACTATATCTAGATATACAGAAATATAGATATACATATAAAGGAGATAAAACTTCCACTACAGGGCATAGGAAAAAAAAAAAACAATAACACTTAGAAGTGATGGTAGAAAACAGTATTACTGAGAAATAAAAGTAGGTAACAGTTTGGTAGTACTTCCCATTTTCACTGCATAACACAACCACAAACTAATCTGAGTGTTAGCTTTGGAAGTCCAAAACAAATACCACATAAATAATACAAATAACCTTTCAAAATTAATGTGTAAATGCCACACTATCTATCGCTAAGTCCACAAAACAATTGTGAACTCTGTTTGATTGCAGACTTTGAAATGGAGTTTCAATGTAAACTAACCAATAAATCCTTTCAGAAATGCCATGTTTCAAAAGACTCATGAGGAGGAGGCCTGGCAACACTGTTATTTAGCTGCAGTCTTTCAGGTGCTGAACAAGTGCTGAACCAAACCTTTATTTCTCAGGTCAGTTCTCTCATCCCTGGACTTCAAAGTAACTTCTCCAAGTCACAGTTTCAATGAAAACCTGAACAGTCCTCAGCAGTTCAGTAACAGAGGAAGAGAAACTGAGAGCAACCCATCCACTGTCCCCTGCTGCCCAGTGCAGAGTCCTGCATCTGGAACTTTTTTAACTCCTTGGGGATTAAAGGGACCCCTAAACTCCCACTGACTGGACTATTTGATAAAATGAGAGTGCTAGCAGGAGTATAGTCTTTTGTTATCCTGCCTCTTCTACAAGTTCCTGTAATTGAACTGTTTAATTCAATAAAAAATATATTAACCATATGTTCATCTACAGAGAAAAAAAAATATCACTACCACCACCACTATAACAGGCCAGATCAGCATAACTGGATTTTCTTGCCTTTAGGAAGCCAAGGCAAGTTATGTTATCTGTCATTCTCCAAAGCTACCATGCAATTTCTGCTTTCTATATAAGAAGTGCTACAGGGACAGAGATTGTCCTGGGTTTGTCAAGAAAACAGTGGGATCTGCAGTGCAGTCTGCCAGCACCTACCCAGAAAGCCAAACTCAAAGACAGAATGATGTGTGACCAAGTGGGAAAGCAGACACACATACTTTGGTAAAACAAACAGTGCAGCAGTGCCTGAGTGAGACAAACAAACCAAACTGTGAAATGATTATAGGTTTACATACTAGGGTAAGAGTTTACAAACCATTGGTATGATGCACTACATTACAATTTCAAGCCAGGAAGTAACAAAAGAAACTTCTTTTAGCCCAAGAATATATAATTACCTACCTAAGATTACTGCAGTGGTATTCCCTGTGGTTTCGAGTTTTTTTGTTCTTGTTTCTGTTTTTTAATAGAATCTAATGAAAGATACCGGCTGGAGAACACCAGACGCAATGTACACTTCCCAGTATTATTCAGGAAAAGCGCAGGCCCAGTACAGACAATGGCTATACAGACTTTCACACAGATCCATCCCAGTGTATCTCTGCTCCCTAGCCCACCAGAGGGAGTGAGATATTAGAAATCCTACTAAGTGGGTAGAATTCCCATAAGTGGGTATAACTAAGAGTTAAAGCCTGAATTTTTTGATAGTCTAATTTACTGCACATTACTGTAAATAGAAAGTAAAATAGAATAGACAGTGGTAACAGTTCTGTCACACATTTTCGGTGCATTTAGTTTCTCTCTGCTTACTTTATATTTCAGTGCTTTTGTGAATACTCCACATTTTACAAAACTTTTTCTTTTCCTTAAACTCCCCTATTCACAACAGGGAATTATGTTTTTCTTGCTGTCCTTAAAGGGCTCTAAGATGCATTTTCTGTGAAGTCAGACAGCACTCTATGGGTTTGGTTGTATGTGAGCTCAAAACCAGCAAGCCTTTACAGTTCAAGAATTTCACATCTCATCTGTTTACACAGACAAGAAAATTGCTTGCTTTATTTTCCCATTTTCTTTTGCATTGCTATTATATACACATTAGCCTAAACAGCAGAGAACTCCATGCAGTGATTTATAAAAGTCTTTTCTAACATAGAGAAATCAAGCACTCAGAATGCTTAATGCAGTTACCTAAAC